TGAGAAAACTGAATGTACCATATAATTACAGCTGACACCAGAAGATCCAACTCTATGCTAAAATCAGGAATTATTAACCACAGAATCCTTATATTCTCAATACTTATGGAAAAGCTTAGTTGTAGATTCAAGGAAGGAGTCAATCTTTAGAGATTGTTAAAAATTTCATGAGTTATAAACAAATATGGTAAAAAAGTGAGTACTTATTTAGGGTAGTAAAAGAAAGTGTGAGAGTGTACTGCACCCATAGAGTTTAGGCCTTGTTTTCTTAACGTCTCCATCTTCCTAATATCACTCCATAAAAGGCTGGGTGTGGTGGTGCACACTTGTAATCTTGAGACGCTGAGGTAAGAGGATCTGAGAGATTGTTAAAAATTTCATGAGTTATAAACAAATATGGTAAAAAAGCGAGTACTTATTTAGGGTAGTAAAAGAAAACGTGAGAGTGTACTGCACCCATAGAGTTTAGGCCTTGTTTTCTTAACGTCTCCCTTCCTAATATCAAAAAAAAAAAAAAAAAAAAAAAAAAAAAAAGCTTTTAACAAATGCTTTCAAAATGACTCTCTGACTGATTACAACCTACTTTATTGTCAACTTACTCTAATGGGGGCCTCTTGTTTATATTATTTTACAGATTTTTAGAGATTCTATGAGTTACAACTATAAAACAAAGTAAAGACATGAGTATTTAAGGTAATAAAAGAAAACCTAACACTTTACTGTATCCCTGGAGCTTAGGCCCTTCCCTTCTAATGTTTCTGTAAGTAGTTTTTGAGAAATAGTTTCTTTTTTCTTTTTTTTGTAGTACCAGGGATTGAACTCAGGACCTTGAGCTTGTGAGGCAGGTGTGGTGCCACTAAGCTAAATCCCTGGCCTTGAGAAATATATATATATATATATATATATATTTTTTTTTAATTGGTACATTATAGGTGTACAATACAGTTACATTCATCACTGGGATCGTGTAACTTTACATGACATATCTTGGTTCTTACTTTCTCCCATTCCACTAGCCTCCCTTTATCCCCTTCACCCTTCCCTATAAAGACTTTGTTTCCATTTTTTCCTTTTCTCTTACTTTTTCTTTTTCCTTTTTACCTCTCCTCAACCCCTCCCACCACTTCCTCTACACCTTTAGACCTTTTTTCCTATTAGACAGTATCAATTATATATTTTGATTCTTATTTACAGTTTTAGTTTATCACACCAGAGAAGCTATACAGTATTTACACATGTGTCCTATTAATTTCACTTAAAATACTTCCTTAAAGACACTTCCTGACTATAATGTGGTCCTAACCTAGAATACTGTATATCTCTCAGCTGCTCCTGACATTTACAAGTTTTCATTGATAGATTGGCTTCACACACTTCAAGGCAAATATGTCTTTGGGAAGTGCTGAAGTAGGAGAATGAGAAACGATAAGGCCAGGAAGCCAAATAGTAGTGATTAGAAACTTCCGTTGAACAGGAAAATGTTGACAGTAAATTGTGGTTTATCATAATTAATGGCATTCTGGTGTAACCTTTGTTAACAAATATGCTGTAGCATAGCACTTTAGTAAAACATATGTGGAAGACTGAATGCAGACACCACAAGTGTCTGCTGCTGACCATGTAGGGTGACTCATGGACTAGACAGCTCTGTCCCAATCATTTCAACTAGTCATTAAACATCTGCTAGAATCATTTTCAGAACACTTACGTATTCTCTGGCTGCCGCTGTCATCCTGGCCTCTTCTTCTTATTTGAACTTGGCTGAGTTTGTTTTACATCTGACATAATTTTGTTAGGTCTAAGGTTTTCATAAATAATATAATCGAGGGAGGATTCCATATAAGCATGCTAAGATGACAAAAAAATAATCAAGGTTAGAAAGAACAGATATTTAATCTAGGAGTGTTTAATGAGAACCAGAATACTTTTAAAGTATGTTTATTTTTCTCAAAGACAAATAAGAAACTAGAGGAGTAAAAAATTTCACGTCAATCCTAATAACTAGCTTCATTGCTGAAGAAAGAGATTTTCTTATCATACGTTAAGCAGTTCCTCTTGTTTCATTTTTTAAAGGATATTTAACCTTGAAAAAGTCACCTGGTGAATTATCCCCCTCAAATAATGGCTTAAAGAACTGCTAGAGTCCATGGAGTAGTTCAAACCTCTCATATATAAAGAGCAACTTCAGCTTTGGGGCAACTCGATCAACCTAAAATTAGAAAGACCACACCCTGCTATGTCAAGACATAGCATGAAAATTTGCTTTGTGCCCTTGTGACTACTTCCAGTTATTTCACTGTAGTTTCTGCTCCTATTTAAAGTTTGTCATCCTAAATGTGTACCTCTAATGTTAAAATCAACAACCTCTCAGGCTTCCTCTGGTTTCTTAAGGAGATACTTATCTCTCTCACTGTATCAGTCTCCTTTGTAGACTCCTTTTTCTTCCTTCCTCAAAAGGGTTTTGTTTGAGTTTTAGTTCTTGGCTGTCTGATTGATTTTCCTGTTCGTGTATTTCATTTAACTTTCCCCTCCCTGTCCACTCCCAGGGTTATGATGTGTTTCCAAAACATTACTTCTCATTCACTCAACAGATACTCATCATTGAATAAACATTTCCTGATCTTGTTTTTCTTATACCCACATTCAAACCATCAAGTTATTTTGGCTGTACAACAGAAGTTTTCTAGCAACCTATTCTAGTTCACTGCTACCAACTTGGTTAAAGCTACCATTGTCTTTCCTGGATCATGGCATTAGCCTCAAATTATTCTTCAAGCTTTGTGTTTTAGTCTCTCCAGCCCCTTCCTCTAGTTCCTTGTCTAATATGGCAGCTGGTATACGATGCTTTTTAAATCCTACTTCAAACGGTGTGAACCAAAAACCATTCCAATAATTGTTCAATTCATTCAGAGCAAAGGACAAAGTTTGGCTGTACACTCATCATACTTCTGCTCATATGTTTGCCTCTGTCCTATTTGTCACCTTTTGGGCTTATTTTGCACTCTTCTTGCCCAGTCACTGAACTCTCATTGGCCTCTTACCTTTTCATAGTACTCCAGGTATCTTCTAGGGTTAGGGTCTCTGCATTAGGCCTGCCCTGCGGCATCCATATCTCTTTCTCACCACTTTTCAGGTCTTTGTTTAAATACCATCTTTTCAGTGGAGTTTTCCTAGAACCCTTTACTGAAGGCTTCAAAGAGCCCCCTCCTTCTTGATATTTCTATTTAACTTTCATCATTTTTTTTCCTGTATCGCTTATTGCCATTGCATGTTTATTATCTCTTTCAGTTGAAAGTAAAAGCTCTACAAAAGAGGGTTTTAAATTGCTATTTAAAAAAAAAAAAAAACAACTGTCCAGAGGAGAGGTTTGTGTAAGGATTTAGAGATTATATAATAGGGCCACCTACCCAGACTGAGGTAAGCAAGGTACTTCAATAGGCCATCTCAGAGCATGTGGCACCTATGCAAGACAGAAGTTAGGAAGGGAGGAGGACTTTGTAATCTCTTTTCACGTAGAGGAATAACATGAACATAGGCACAGTGGCTTATTTGATGCTATTGACAATTTTCTCATTTCTCCTCACATCTCTTTAACATCTCTAAGCATGCCAACCTGACTTGTCAGCATCAGGATTTTACATCATCATGGATGGCTGTTATATCTTTTTGAGCACATCAATTCAGTGACTGATGGGTGGTAGGGATATATTTCCCTTATTTCTCTCATTCCTTGGCCAGCTTATTTATGATAAGCAAATTGTACATTACGTGGGACTACACTCCTCCCCCACTGTGTTAGATTTATAAATGCATTTACTACTGGCTACCTTCCCTTTCCTACGTCACTTCACACTCACCTACCTTGTTTCAGTGAAATATGTAACAAACATATATACAACAAACATATATATAACAAAATATATAACCAAGTGAACGTTGTTTCAGTTGGCCTTTGGAAGATCCAAAATGAATACAATGATTCCTTCACAAATGCTAGAGAATAAAAATGACAAAATATTTGATCTGCTTTGGGAGATGATATAGTAAACTATATTTGTTGGCTACAGCATGTCAGAAGAATTAGTTCAGCTTGATAGTGAAAAATTTTGAATTCTAGGTTAAGTGATTTGGATTATTTTCAAATCCTTTATGAAGTTTTTTAAGTTTGTGGTTGAAGTAATCAAGATGCTATCTGAGCATCATGATTTTTAGCAGTAGTATATGGTAGTACTATGTGGAGGCAGTCTATACAGAAGGTGGCAGTTAGAAAACTGCTCAAGTAGCACCACTAGGATATATTCAGGAATGTGTTACTTGTGAGATAACAGTGAGAGTGAAGAAGGACATATGGAGAAAAAATGTGAAGAAAAAAAAAGACAAGATTTGGAAGCCAGTTCTGTGAGTCGGCAGGTATGAGGGCAGAAGAAAAGTTAAAAAAAAAATAATAAAAAAAGCCCGAAGCCATACAAATTAGAAAGGAGTAGTGTCACTAACAGAGATGAAAAGCTAGGAGTGGAAACTAGATTTGATGAGTTAAAGACATGGTGCACTTCAGCCAGTGGAACAACAAAGGGTAAATGTTCAGCAGATGGCTGGAAACTAAGAAGGCAAGAGAGATTTGGTTTCAGAATCAGGGCACTTTCAGACTGCAAGTGAAGTGTCTGAGTATTTTGAAAGTCCCCAAGAAACACTTGTTTTATAGAGTTCTAACCTCATGACTCAAAAGAACAGGAGGACTACCATAGTAACCTGTGATTATTGGTGGACGTGCAGTTTAAGCCTACACATTTGTGATGTGGAAATGCCATACATGTGCATGGGGGCAAGAAAGGGGACTGGAAAACAGAAACCCATGCAGGTTCTTGAAGACAATGAAGCAAGAAATCAAGTCCAAGGAGTTTTGTCAGAGGCAGGTTTAGAATTCCGCCACAGGAATAGCTATACTTATCAGACTTCTATAACTTTCAGGATTGCGGTTTTATGGAGCTGCACTTAGCACCCACTGAAAGACGTTATTCAACAATCCAATTCTTACCCTTTTCTTCTTCAGACTATACCTCATTTTACTCTTCTCACAGGTCATACTTTCCACTTCTTTAGTTATTTCTGGTTTTTGAATTTTCTCCAACTCTCCTTTTCTAAAAAAAAAAAAAA